CTGACTTATGTCGAGAAATTTACGCCCTTTTCGCCTTTCCGGGCGCTTCCGCGAGGTCAATGCGCTTAACGATCGGCCGGCCGCGGCAGTGCACAGCCCCTGCCCTTTGCCGAGACCACGTGCGCTGAACGCCTTCGATCTGCACCGCCTCCGATCGCTGTGCTCCTTTCCACGCGATCGTTCCTTCTCCCTCCTCCCTCCTCTTCCGCATTCTCTCTTCCGTGTTACCAGCAGCCTCCCTCGCGCCCGATTGTCCGAGTCTTTGCTAGCCTATCTATGTATTTGGACTTGCGCGCCAACTCTTGTCTCTTTGTGTTGGCGCTTGTTTGTGATCGGCTCGGCTGATAATGAAATAATACATGGACCCATCGGGTCCTATTGATTGGCTTGCTCGCTCGTGTTCGCGTTTGCGTCCGATTCCACAATAAGCTCGGAATGGTCTCTTGCTTCGGATGGCTCTTCTTTCTCATGAGCCTCTCTCTCTCTTTGTCTTGTCAAGATATTATCTGGATATGATTGTAAGGTCTAGTAAGGTAGGGCTGCTCAGTGGAGCACCGTAGCTTTGAAGCGATCGACACAAGGGGTAAAACACGGAAGCAAACGAATTTCGTTTGCTCACTGCCACTGACAGCGAGCTCGACCTTGTCCTTGCTGTCAACCTTCCCCTACGACCACCCTCTTCCCCTCGACCTCCCTCTCGTCACGCCACAATGGGTGTAAAGCGTAAATCGCCTGCTGTGGACTCGAACGTCGTAGTAGAATCTCCGAAACCTTCGAAGCGTAAACAGTCGAAGAAAAAAGCCCAAATGACCGAGGCGATCGGCATTGAGGAGCTTGACGAGATCCGCAAAGAAGGTGTGCAAAAGCACAAGATGGCTGCGAACACACGGGGCAGCTACGGCGGCTATATCTCTAGGTTACAGAGGTGGGGTCGGGGAACTGCAGGGTATGAGCTAGCTTTTGAGGGAGAACCTAAGGAATCCTCGCCGAAGGCACTTGCCAATTATATCGCACTTCGGTGTCTAAAGGACGGACTCGGTCAGAGTACGGCGGATGGCGCTCACGCGGCTTGGAAGAAGCACTGGGAGGAGTTGTGAGTCAAATTGATTTCCATATCCGTGCTTTCGTGTGGCTAAAATGTATCGATCAGGGATGGCGACACTTTTCGAGGGCCATGGAAGCAAGATCCCCATACTCAGAGGTGGGTTGGTAATCCTGCCAATTCTGCACTCGTTCAGGACGTCATGGTATCCATTCGGAATAAATACGGCGGAGATGGAGCTAGCGAGCGCAAGCACTCGGCTGCGATGTCATACGAGCAGATGCAGACGATGATGGGATGGTCAGAGAAGGAGTGTCCGATCCCTGCGAGTGGAACGACTCCGAAATCTTTCGCCGAGCGAGAGCATCAGGTCAAACATCTAATGTTTCGTGCTTTTGCTTGCATTGGGTGGGTTGTGTGGACGAGGTGGGTTATTATATTCTACTCCTAACCTTTTCGAATGCAAATCATTTGGATCTGTCCATCTATCTAGAAACTTCGAGACTTCAAAGATCAAGAAACGCCACCTTCGCCTCAACCAACGAGATGCTCAAGGGCGCTTGTATCACGAACTCCAGTTAAAAGATCGAAAGGGATGGCAACGACGCCGCTCGAAGCACGGTTCCCAATCAATGGAAGAAGACCTTGAAGGTGCGCTGTCGCCGCTCATGGCCTTTATGTGTCAGATCAAATATTTAAGATTCCTACTCACTATCATAGGGCGAACGTACAAGCTCTATGACATACCACACATGCCGCACGTCAACGTATATCGCCATCTGGCAGTTTGGTGCGACTATCTTGAGCGGAACGTCTACTGTCGACCTCTCCAGGATGACGACTTCATATTCCCGAGCATCGGTTCTGGTGGTGCAGCTCAGGATCTGCGCCAAATCTCCGCCGACGACATTCAGAAACTCATCAACGAGTTCGCAACGAAGTCTGGGCTGTACGATAACATGGCTTCCGACTATCGATTCACCACGCATTGCTTCAGGCGTGGCGGCGCTCAATATCGGTTCATGTATGCTCCCGAAAGTGAACGGTGGACACTCTCCATCATTCGGTGGTGGGGTGGCTGGGCCGAAGGCGAAAGTGTAAGCCTATTTTAATCTTTGCTTCGTCACAGTTCATCATCAGAAGCTCACGATCATGATGTTTTTAGACGGACACACTCATCCGATACCTGCTTGACGAGCTCACCGCTTATGAGTCTAGTCATAGCGATGCGCTTGCGCCTAAAGTCCCCAATAGCCCCACTAGCCCCATTGCCCCGCCTCGCATTCGAACGGTTGTCGAGGACGCATTGCCTTCGGCCTCTCACCGCGAAGCCTGGTACCAAGACAGCCTGCTCGGTCTACACACCAGCATCAAACACCTCTTATCCCGTGTTGATTCCCTCGCCCTCATAGGTCCTGCACTCTACTCGCTCACACACCTTCTTCCGTCGCTGTGTTCATTACCGGCAGGCACCGCGCCACCCATATTTCCGCCACCATCACGCCACCATTCTATTGCTCCTTCGCAGGCTCATCTACCATTTTCATTCATTCATCAATCGCTCACACCGCCCATCGTCGACGATTCACCCTTCCCATACGCATCCATCACCACTCTTCCTAACGGACTCAATAGCCAGCCCCCAGCTTCCGTCCCATACTCGCACGATAGCTACGCAGGTAATGCGTCTGAACGCGGCGGACACCAGTACAACTCGACCCTCGATCAAAACATCCATGGTTTGATTGTCCCTCCATTCAATTCATCCTCCAATATCTCGAGTACGCACGACCCAGGGCCTGCGGCGTCATCTGCCGCCCACCTCACGACGTCCCGAACGCCACTTCTCCAGGTTTCTCATATCTCTCCCGCCCTCGAATACAAAATTCTCAACCTTCCTCTCCCAAAACCCGACGGTTCGCAGACCAAAGCCGACTCCTGGCGGGATATAGTTCTCCTCTGGGATCACGGTATCCCAGGCAAGAGCATTCCTCCAATGAAAGACTGGCCCAACGTGTGTCGCCAGGGCCCTAATCGTCAACAGTTCGCCGCGCATTACGGACAGCGGAAAAAGATCGCGCTAGAGTTTATTGAATGGTAAGCCATAATCTTACCTCTGTCAACAAACCCGACCTTCTCGCTGACATGTGCGACCTGTTCCACCTCCAGTTATGGCCGCGATGAGACGCGCTTTCTTCAAGCGTACGGAGACGCAGCGGGCAAGGGCCATACTAACCTCCTTGCGGCAATCACTGCAGCACAAAGGGCGAGCGGGCGTCTGGTTCAGCGCAGGAGTAAGAACGGCACCCCTACCGAGAGGGTAAGCCTTGCCACAGAGCAGGTGTCAGATGACGGAGTCGAGGAAGGAGGAGAGAATGTAGTTGATTCATGATATACATTACGGGCTATCTCTTTCACCGGCTGCTACATTTACGGGTTCTTGCATTACCTTACGAGTCTTACTTATTCATCTTCACACTACAATTCTCCATAATCACAAAAAGGATGTCATTGTTGAACTAAGTACTCGAGTACATATCATCATGCTGAAATGTGAACCATAGCAAGGACTTCATCCTCGTCCTCTGACGAGTCGCTTCCGTCAACGACACCCACATTTGGCAACAGGGGAGATACAGGCAGAGTCGAATCCGAACAGTGCACTTCAAACCATACTCGTACTAGGACATCATTAGCTGGGTGTCTCACGAAGTCGAGACGCACAGGTGGGGAGCAGAGATGGGTACCGGTCCAAGATGTAGTAGCATGGACATAAGGTAGAAAGCAGTGAAGGTTGGGGAAGTCGAGATATAACCACAACCGGAAGCTCGGTGAGATACGTATCAGATCCTCGCGAAATGCGAGGAGCCATGCTCCGAGGTTAAAATGCCAGGGGTTAGGATAGGTGGCGGCGGCGCGGAGTAAGGGGTCCATGTGGGATTGAAGGTGCGCTGAAATTGATAAAGCGGCTGCTGGAGTCAACCGAACGTCGGCCTATAATAAGAGTGAGATCGCGATGGTATATATAGAGAGGTAGGGCATACCGGACACAAGGAGTTGGCCGACATTATTAGTACGTAGAGAAGAAGACTAACATGCGTAGGCCGATCTTGAGTGTCGGAACTTGAGGCGAGTTCGATCGCACGAACGCCGAATGCAAAGTCACTATGAGGTGGCCTGTATGGCAGACCTATGTAAATTATCATTGCGTCAAGGTCAGACATGGATGGCTTACCGGAGAATAAATAAGGAGACACCGTATAATAGGCCCTCCAAGCTGTCACCAAGGACGGCATCCACGACGCCTTCCCGATTCATCAGCGCGAGTTCAGCAAGTGCTGTGGCAGGTGCCTGTGAAGAGCTTGAGTGTGAAGTTCGAGACTCAAGGGAAAAAACGCACCCGGTGAGATCGAAATCCAACGGCGGCAATGAGGTTCATCACCGCTTCTTGATCGGGAATCTCATCGTGCCCAAAAACAAAGACGACGTTGAGGGAGAGTCGCCTAAGCATTTCGACACCGTGGAATGCCCGCAATAGTCTTGCCAGCGATGTTTCCGCGGTGCACAGCCAAGAGCTTCGAAAGCGTTAGCCGCAGTCATATAGGTTCCTGATTGAAGCAGCCTGGACTAACCTCGCATCAACGCCAAGGGTGGAGATTGCGTCACTGGAGTCGAGCCTTCTCTCCTGCCACATATAGGTGTCGAGAGCCTGTTTGACAAAGGAAATTGTTATTGGATCATATTACTGTGAGCACTGAGACCTTGCATACCTCAAATAGCCACTCGTGTGCCTTGGGGGTTACTACGGACTGATGGTCCCGCACTAAGACCATGTTGATAGCGGGGCTGATGAGTTCGTTCTAGATGAGCAGTGAGCACGTAAAGGAAATGGTCGAACTGTCGCAACTTGAGCGTGGCCACGATTTCGGAGGGTCTTAAGGGGCGGAAGGGTGTTTCGGAACGGCCTGAAACATCCAGGAGCCGAAAATGGCGGGGCAGGGTACGGTGTCATAACGACAAGGGAACAAGGCTGAAGAATGTAGAGTAGCGTGCGAGAGGGTAGAAAAGACCATTCAGTTGTAAGAGTCGGAGACCTAGAAGATAACCAAGTAAATGAGTGTCCAATTTTCCATCCACTAAAAGAGATCACCATGCGAGAGCCCATAGACGTCGCAGGAAAGCGATTATGGAGAAAAAGACTATAAGGTGAAGAGGATGCAAGGACCGCAGGGAGTTCCTGGCTGAAGGTCGCGAGTGATGGGGATCTGGAAGTCTGCAGACGAATGCACGATGAGCGACGAAGGGGGGTAAAAGGGAAGGACGTGCATTGACCTCCATCCTTGACCACTGGGTTCTCGCGCTGCGCTGGCGCTCCTCCTCCTACTCCATCTCGATCTCATACAAAAGTCTTCGGTGGAAGGCGAGTGGCGGCATCGACAGGGTACTTCTTCGGAGTACATCGACCACCACCTGTGCACTTACAGACCTCACTCTTCAATCGCAACGGATAAATGTCGAGCTCGCGTGAGGGAACGGTGACTTCGGGTACGATGGAGGGGTCTGAGCGCGGTGACAGAGTGAGGCGTTGCTGGCGAAGGGAGCGGCGGTGTACAGCGGTGACGGCAGAGGCAATGGATTGACGGTCGAGAGGGGTGAGGATGACGATAGATCTTCTTGAGCTAGTGCGAGAGCGAGGAGAGGTGGTAACGGGTAGCGGGGCAGACACAGGGGCACGGGGAGCGTGAGATGGTTCAGGTGTACGGGGAGTAGGGCATCTGTAGAGTTGGTTGAAGCAGGTGTCGCGCATGCGAGCTGCGTGGAGGGGCGACGTGGGTGACGCGAACCGGGCTATGAGAGTGTTGCGTGGCGGATGACGGAAATCGAGGTTGGACGTGTCGAGGAGGCTCGTCCTGCGAGAGGAGCAGGTGGCACAGAAGGTGCCGCCACACTTGCGACAGTGGTGTCTGCACTCGAAGATGGAGAACCGCTTCGTGCAGGTGAAGGTTTCGCAAGATGCCGCTTGGGAATCGGGCTGAACAAAACTAGATTAGTGTTTGGGTTGTGCGAAGGTAAGACAGAACAACGAACCTTCCAAAGATGCTTCGGGAGGAGGACAGCGAGGTGTTCATTAGGGCGGACATAAGTGGCGTCGAAGGAGGTAGTATCGGAGATGGTGGCGTCGGAGGAGGCGTCGGAGGGGAGGGGGCATGAAGAGGACTGGATGAGGGCGAGTATTCTGCTGTGGGACGTGGTGTGTTAGCGGACACTTCGACAGTTTCGGAGGGCAGAGGCGGTGGACAATCACATTAACGGAAACAAGAGTTGATGTTGAGGATTTGGCGGAATCGACAATCTCGACTGGATCGTACAGACTGCTGCATGCAGCAACATGTAGGTGTGGGCGGAAAGGTTGACGAAATAGGAGAGGTCGAAGTCGGGCGGGCGAAGAGGGTACCTTGTATAGATCGTGGGAAAGCTTGCCACGGTCTGGCATAGCTATCAGGCATAGTATATACGGACTCGCACTGGAGAGTAAGAGTAGAAAATATTAGCGGACGTCGAGCTGACATTGACACATCATATAGGGTCGGATAGAAACAATAATATACGCGACATACCTGCAGGGCGAGGACACGTGTGGTGATGTTGGCGCAGCGGTCGTAGCATTGTAGTGGACAGCACGGTTGTATGGTGAACGGTTGGGAAACGATGTAGAAGGTTCAGAGCTGGGCATTGACAAGGTCTTTACGGTACTGTGATATTGGTGGTAGGCCTCGGCAATACAAAGAATGATCTAAGAAGGTCAACGATGCCAGCATTCTATTCAAACACAGTTCGAAAAAAACCCTCGCTGGTGTCATGTGCGAAACCAGACAAGGCGCACGATATACGAGTGCCTAAAATAAAATCTTGGGTAGAAGGACACACCTTCTGACACGAAGGTCAATCGTGTTCGAGGGAGACTAGGGTTGAGCGGCTTGACCTCATGTGCCACGTAGGTGATTGGTTGGAGAGCGAGAAACCAGTGTGCGGCCTCAGGCTGCAGTCCAAGCTCCATGCTAAACTCTCTGGCAGAATATGTAGAAGAAAGGCCCGACTTCAGACCTGGAGGAGAGCCGTTGTCGAGGAGAGCGAAGAAAAGAGTCGAAGAAAAGAGATTGGGCTCGAGCGTTGCGAGCGACGGAAGTAGAATTGATGGAGGATCAACGTGTTCGGTATTTGCCGAGTCACAGCGGAGACCACACTGCGTTGCGCTCGCTGCTTTCCCCGGCGATGGACTTCCATGCTTAGCAAGGATTTAGTGGAATAAGTGCTTGGGCCTGCTCAGCTGGCAGGCATAAGTGCAATAAGTGCGATCCCAACTTAACTTTACAGAAAATTTACAGAAACTTTAGGCAAGAAGCCACGGCACTGTAAATCTTGTAATTTCCGAGAAGCGAAATGAAAGTATATACACCTCGAAGTGCTTATGTGCTTCGAGATCCGATACCCTCATCTGTTTCATATTTGTGAGCTGACACTTCTCCGCTCTCGATCTTGTTTCTCTTGTTGCTGTCGGTCCGAGGATCTAGAGATACATTGTGGCACTACTACATGGCTTGAGGCGGGCCCGGGCCCTTTGAACTCATTCATTGGTTTCCTACTGCTCGCTCATGTGGGCAATTTTTTTTCGGACAGAGTACAGGGTTTATAAAGCCAGCTTTGGCTATACATTGGACATTCTATACATCGAGGCTGCTTGCAGCTGTGCCACATCACGGACTCGCACCACATCAATGATCGTACATCAGAACGAGTCCTCTTACTGATCGCGAGCCCTCCCCAACGACTTCATCAACCCTTCCAATGGCGTACATCACAACGAGCACCATAAACCTTCTCCGATCCCACCGGTCGCGGCCCCTCCAAGATTACTCCATCAACCCTGCTAACGGCGCTCGAACAATCCAGCTGACAAATATCCAACCACAGACACATGGCTATTGCGCAAACACTGCAGAATGATGGCCGGTCGTCAGTAGCGCTCATGTGGACTAGAGGGTTGACGATGAAGAGAGGTCAGATGACTGCAAAGTTCTAGACGGAATGTCCCAGGCCGTAGAGGTGAGATCGTTGCAGGGATATTCGGACATGTTCGTCACGGAGAAAAGCGACATAACCAGTCGTAGAAGCGCAAAGACTGAGGGTAAAGTCGTAGAGTCATGGAGGAATTAACGACAAAACGTGGACGGACGGGTAATCGCACTGAGCGAATGAATCCTCTACGAGTCGAAGGGAAGCTAGTGTTCGGCGAGCTGGAGAAGAAGAGCCAGATCGGGAGCCGCCAGAGACCACAGTGCATTCTCAGTAGCTTCAGTATCCCCAGTGCCATAGTACAGACCTCCTAGTTATGAGATACGGGCATCGAACTGGCGGCAGGCGGCATGACTTAGGCGAGTGAACACGAACGCCGCATGAGCAAAGCGAGAGCCTGAGTACTATGTAGTAGCAGCCACGTGAGAGCAACGAGAAGACAGCCGTGGTACAGAGAATAGCTTTCAACAAGCTCGTATGATACAATACCTGGCCGTCTCAGAGACTTGTTCGCACTGGAATCCGATGGAGGCAGCGAGAAGGTAAACAGTAGTACGCTCGTTCTTGCTACGATCAAGCGCGAAGCCTCGAGGCGCGATGAGATCTGCTATCGTTGGCCACGTGGCGTACGAAGGTTCCTCCCTTCATCTCCTCCTCCCGCCCACGATATCGGCCCAGATCCCCCTCGCATGTAAGTTTCAACCACGATTGGATCTGGCAGGTACCCGCGGCCATTTACGGGGCATTTACGAGCAGGCGTAAATTTCTCTGATTATACTGACTTATGTCGAGAAATTTACGCCCTTTTCGCCTTTCCGGGCGCTTCCGCGAGGTCAATGCGCTTAACGATCGGCCGGCCGCGGCAGTGCACAGCCCCTGCCCTTTGCCGAGACCACGTGCGCTGAACGCCTTCGATCTGCACCGCCTCCGATCGCTGTGCTCCTTTCCACGCGATCGTTCCTTCTCCCTCCTCCCTCCTCTTCCGCATTCTCTCTTCCGTGTTACCAGCAGCCTCCCTCGCGCCCGATTGTCCGAGTCTTTGCTAGCCTATCTATGTATTTGGACTTGCGCGCCAACTCTTGTCTCTTTGTGTTGGCGCTTGTTTGTGATCGGCTCGGCTGATAATGAAATAATACATGGACCCATCGGGTCCTATTGATTGGCTTGCTCGCTCGTGTTCGCGTTTGCGTCCGATTCCACAATAAGCTCGGAATGGTCTCTTGCTTCGGATGGCTCTTCTTTCTCATGAGCCTCTCTCTCTCTTTGTCTTG